CTGCAGATACCATTGTGGGGGATCGTGTTTTCAGGCCTTGTCTGCTCTGAGGGGCAAGGAGAGTGCCCTGTGCCCTGAGGGTACTAGAGAGGAGCCTGTTGAGATTAGGGGGTAAATTAAGAAGGGCAGAGACTCACCGTTTGGATATGGCTTGCTTGGGATGGGACAGGGCCTGCAGGCACCCTCCCCCCATCTGTAGTGTCTGTTCTCTGGGGACAGAGAGGGTTTCTCCTATCCTTGGATCAATACAGCCTGTCTGGAAGCCAGGATACCTCAGTTCCAACTCAGCTCTGACACTAACTTGCTCTGTTAGTGACCATGGGTGGTCCCTTCCTGTCTCTGATCCTCAGTTTTCCCACCTGTAAAAGGAAGGGGTGGACTGGATGATTTCTCAGAGCCCTTCAGTTCTAGGTTAGGGCCCCCTACACCCTCCCTACCCTCACTGCGGTCTCGAGGCAACCCTAACAACTTCGGGCGACGACAGAATTTGCTTAGAGATAGTGAGAGACTGATTGAGTAAACAAACAGCCTCAGAGTCCTGGTTCCCGAATTCGTGTCCAAAGCTGGACTGCAAGTCTCCGTGTCACCCGGGGTAGAACTCCTCAAGTCCCTTTCTTTGGCCGTATAAGGAAGAAGGAGGAGAGACTCTCTGATACAGGTTACAAGCACAGGGCTGAGGAGAAAGCTCCGGCCTCCAAAGACCTCAGTGACTAACCCAGAGTGAGGAATAAATCAAATGACACTCACCACCTCTTCTTTGTCATACACCCTGGAGCCCAGGGCTGGGGCACCTAAGGGGAGGCAGCTCGCCATCCCCAGGCCTTCTGGAGTGTTTGGTGAGGGGCGCAAGTGGCCTTTCCCCGAGCCTGGGCCAGCAGAACCCCCTCCCCAAAGACTTGCCTCCCACCCCTCCATCACCCTGTGTGCCAGGCCCACATCCAGATCCCAGCCATGCAAAAGCACATTCCCACAGGTCCACCCCTCCTCTTGGGGCCATAGCTCTGTGCTGGCCTCCCTGGCCCTGAGGCTGCCCTTCCCATCCCAGCAGCCCACCCCTGTCCAGCCAGGAACCATCTTCCCAAAGCATAGCTCTGACTGGTGCAGACAACAGCCCACAGCCCACCTTCCCCAAACCTGCCATTCAAAGTTCTTCAGGCTCCTAACTCCATTTCTGGCTTTTCCCCTACCAGGTGCCGGGGGCTGCCACTAGTTTCTAGATGGCCTCCATGGCTTTCCTGCTCCTTCTTTTTGTTCCTATGTTCCTTCCACCTGGGACATCACAGCCTCCATCTCACCTTCTATCCACTCCACCTCCTCCAAGAAGTCCTCCCTCATCCCTGCTCCTGACCAAGGTCCTCCCTCCAGTGACCCACCTGGCCCACTGTTTGTGGCTTGCTTGAGCACCTGGTATGACAGGCATTTCTGCGCCTGTCTTTCCTCCCATCCAGCATGGAATCTCTGGAGGGCAGAGCCTGAGCCTTTTTCATGCAGAGCCCAGCACAGCCCTGGTATGCAGCCATTACTCGATAGATGTTAAGACGATCCCCAAAAAAGTCTCCCAGTGGGGCAACCAGTGCACTGGCCCCTTACTGGGGGAAGTGACAGATGGCAAATGCCAAGCTAGGTTAACATGAATTGGTTTCAAGAACCCAGACAGGCACCGTACATGGCCTTTGGAGTCACAGACCGGGATTCAAATCCTGCCTCTGCCACTTACTGTGTGACCTGGGACAGGTTACCTACCTGGCCTGGGCCTCAGCTTTCTCATCTGTAATATGGGGTCTTTTTGTGTGTGTGTGTGTGCTTTAAGTGAAAGTTTACAGTTCAAGTCAGTTTCTCATATGAAGATATATACACGCATTGCTATGTAACCCTAGTTGCTCTCCCCACAATGTGACAGCACACTCTTCCCTTCCACCCCGGATCTCCCGTGTCCATTCAACCAGCTTCTATCCCTTTTTGCCTTCTCATCTTGCCTCCCGACAGGTGCTGCCCATTTAGTCTCATGCACCTACTTGAGCTAAGAAGCACTCTCTCCACGAGCATCGTTTTATGTCCCATAGTCCAGTCCAATCTTTGCCTGAAGAGCTGGCTTCGGGAATGGTTTCAGTTCTGAGCGAATGGAGAGTCTGGGCACCATGTCTTCCAGGGTCTATAATATGAGAGTCTTAATATCCATTTACAAGGTCATTGTGAGCATTGGAGCCCTGGCAGCACGGTGGTTAAGAGCTCGGCTGCTAACCAAAAGGTCAGCAGTTCGAATCCACCAGCCACTCCTTGGAAACTCTATAGGGCAGTTCTACTCTGTTCTGTAGGGTCACTATGAGTTAGAATCGACTCGACAGCAAGGAGTTTATTTTTTGTTTTTTGGGTTTTTTTTGTGAGCATTAAATGAAGCGATAGATATAAAGCATCATAATTGCTTGTAAATTAGCTCTTAGAATCATGTGTGAACTCCCTGGATCATATTCAAAGTAATTTTAAAAGTTAACAACTTCATAGTTTACATCTGTCATCTCCTTAGCAGTAGAGATTCTTATTATTCTCCTTTTACAGGTGAGGAAACTAAGGTTCCAGGAAGTGAATGTTCTTGCCCCAGCGTGTTCAGCAAGGATGAGGGCTATGGTCAGCACTGGCTCTATCCCTGGGCTCTGAGGGGACAGCGGTGAGAGGGAAGGTAAGCATCTTGTTCCTTGTTAGCTGCCACCACAATGACCCGAGATAGTGCTCTGGGTCAGTTTTGGCCAACGTTTAGCCCCAGGAGTCAGGTTTCAGCTGACACTGGGTAGGCCCTGACTCCGTGCCTGGCCAGGCCCTGAGTCACATGAGTAGCCAATCCCAGGGTTAGGCCCAGGGCTGCGGCCAAGTTTGCTGCATGCCTTTGTTCATCTGCTCTGCCCCTCATGCCTTCAACAAAGAAGGCTCAGCAGTGGCCAACAGAGGTGACAGAAAGGGTAGGGTAGGAGGGGGCTGAGGATGGGTGAATGCCATTGGCATGCAAGAGATGTAAGGAGTGCAGGGCAGCAAATTCACGATAGGACCACTGCTGGCTCATGTGGCCTCTTTGTATGAATTAGAAAAAAGTGTCCTCTCTGGATGGACAAAGCCCCACATCAAGGCACACAGCTTGGGGAGTGGAGTGTGGGTTGAATTTTGACCCTCACCATCTCAGTTGGGCACAACCATCATGCACAACATGTATGAACAACATGCACAACCATCCGGAGCAGCCCTGCTCACCAAGCACGCCTGCAAGGCTAGGTCCTGAGATGGCTACTGGGATTTGGAGATAACTCAGACACGGACCAGCTCCTGAGAAGCTCACAGGGAAGCCAGAGGTGCTGGGGGAGCACAGAGGAGGGAGCACTTTACTCTCCCTGAGAGGAGGCTTGGAAGAGCTACAGCTGGCTGATGGGAGAAGGCAGTGTTGTGCTGGTAAACTGGCTCTTGGGGAAAAAGTCCTGAGTTGTAGCATTTGCCAATTTCCATGGTGTAAATACTCCCACCGTGGGCGATTTCAACATACCAGCGAGCCACCACTGATGTGGAGCTGGGAAGACGTGCACAATCTGCCCTTGCTAGTTGGTTCAAGCTGGCTCCAGAACACCACTGGGAGGTGGAGTAGCTTCAGCTGAACCCAGAAGGAAAGGAGGATTCCTCCAGGCAGAGAAGAGGGCTGGGGCAGGGGAGGACATTCCAGGAGGAGGGAAAAGCCAGAGCAAATGCATAGAGGTAAGAAGGTAAATAGGGAGAAAGTCGTGAAGAATTTTGAATGAGTTGTGACTGGGAAGGGGCATTCCAAGTATCCTGGAGGCTGGTAGCATTTTAGTTTTTGACCCAAATAGGGATCACATGCCTGTTATGATTCTTTAAGTTGTACATTTAAGTTTTACGTACTTTTCTGTATATTTATCATATTTTACAGTAAAAAAGATAACAAGCACTGATAATCTCACTCAGGGATAACAACTGTTTACAATTTTGTAATATTGCCTTCCAATCTTTCTTCTTTGCATATATTTATACACCCATTCAGCAAAAATTTTCATGCAGAAAAAAAAAAAAAAAACTTTTTTTGCACTGAGTTTCTTCCCTATAAAGAAGAAAGCATTTGAAGCAATAAGGTGTAGTGGAAAGAGTGTGGGTTTTGGAATAAGGAGACCTGGATTCAAATCCTGCTTCCTGAAGTGCTAATTTTGTGATGCTGAGAAAGTTGCTTGTCTTTAACCTCTCTGAGCTGTTCTTCTTCTGCAAACTGGGACTGATAATCCCTACAACTTGCAGGGCTGTTGTGAAGATCAGAGATGATGTACATAAGGTGTGCTACACAGAGCCTGGCCCACAGTAGACCCTCAACATATAACAATACAAGATACGTTATTAGCATTATCTTAGAAAGTCAGAACTGAAAGAGTTGCCCTGAAGATAAATGACTGGACCACAGAAGTTACAGAGAATCAATAATTCCATAAGGATAAAGACAAACTAGAATTTCCCCAGAGAGAGTAACCTGGATAGAGGGGACTCAAAGGTCTGTTGAATAAGGGGTAACTGAAGAAACTAGGGCTATTTAGCCTGGTGAGGAAGATGCCAATATTTTCTGAGATCTGTGCCAGGTGTGTCCTGTGGGCAGCAGAGGGCAGAATGAACCCCAACAAACAATACTCAGAGGGAGTTGATTTCCACCTAATATAAGAAAGGATATTCTCTAGTCAGCACTGTCCAAAGATGAAGGGGGTCATGTTGGTAACGACTGAGCACCCCCTACCCCCATCACTGGGTGTGAACAAGCAGAAGCTGGAGGAGTACTTGGTGCGAAGGATGAAGAAAGAAGGTGAGCATGGTAGAGAGGTGTAGACTGGACAATCTTTGAGGTCCCTTAAAGCTGGGCTCCTGGACGTCTAGAATCAGTATCACTTGCTCCACCGGCAGCATGCAGGAAAGCACAGAGTGGAAAGCTTCAGAAGTAAAAGACCCAAGGAGGCTCTCCCCCGTCTTACCTGGTTATCAATTTTTAGCTCCACAAGAGATGTGTTGTGTGGAAGGGCTTCTACCAGTCTCAGGATCCCGGCTCCAGAAATGAAGTTGGATTCCACATTCAGCGTCTTCATCACCTTGTTCACCTTGAGCATCTCAGCAAGGGCCTGGAACCATGGGAGAGAAATGGGAGTGCTCAAGACTCACATGGAGCAAGGCTGGAGCCCCTCCTGGGTCAATCCTAAAAAACCGAGGGGGCCTTGCTGGGAGCGAGAGGCCCTCACACACTCAGGCTGGCCATTACCCAAACACAACTCTATGTCTCTCCTCCCCCCAGCTTGTCATGGCTCCCGAGCCCCTACCGGAGAATGCCATGCTCCTTAGCCTCCATGCAAAGCCTTCTATACCTGGTGCTACTCCCCTGTGCAGCCACGACTCACCGCTCCCTGACAGTGGGCCAACTCTCAGCTCCTCGTGTCTGCCCAGTGCTTTCCCACCACTCTGCCTTTGCCGATTCTGTCGCTGTCACCTGGATACCCTTTCCTTTATGCCTCACTTGTTCAAATCTTGGTCATCCTTCAAGGCTATTCTCAAATGCCCCTCTCTCCAAGAGCCTTTGCTGACGTCCCCAGCTAGCTGTGGTCTGCCCTCCTGAACTCCCATAGAATTTATCCATAACTTCCCTCCTGGAACTTGTACTCCTCTGTATTAGAGTTGTTTTTATATTGCTACATGCTTTTGGTGGGCTGAAAATGTATCTCATTCATCCCATGTTGCCCTCAAGGCCCACACAGTGCCAGAATATAGTAGATCTCTAGTCAGTATTCACTGAGTGACTTGTGGAGTCCCACTCCCCACATATACTCTCCACTTCTCTGTTGAAATTCCATGGATCAATGTTTTCTTCTGCAGAGAGCAGAAGAGGAAAGAGTTGGGCATGGGAAACAACCCTACTTTTTTTTTTTTTTTTGCCTAGTGGGTAAGTGACCAGGGCCACATGGAGAAGAGCTCAGGTGCCCCCAGCACGTTTCGGGGGAATTCAGCCAGTGGGTGTAGATGACAATCAGAGCATCTGAAGGGAATGAGGTAATTGGCAGTTGGTGGAAAGATGTGTCACAGAGGAAAGAAGACACCAGCAGTGATAGGCCCAGGATGTACAGATCAGTGGGGCCCAGTTGTCTGAAATGACGCTTGGAGCCAGGGAGGCCGGCCCTACTCTCCCTGCTTGCTGAAACCCTACTCAAGGCTCAGATCAATGCCACCTCCCTCAGGGAGTCTTCAGTGTTTAAGTCATCACTCCCTCCTCAGCTCCTCGAAAAGTCAGTGAGCCCAGGATGGCATGTCGGCTTTCTCTGCTAGCATTTGTCTCCCTGAGCAGGTTGGACTCCCACCCCAAACCCCTACCAGGGAAGGAACCTAGTCTGCGTCCTCTCTGTGCCCTCCACACCCTCCCCTCCCCCAACCAGGACATGTTTGGCCTGGACTCATAATCAAAATATTTAACAACCAGCAGGCAAGTATACAATGAGCCCTGGTGGCACAGTGGTTAAGCGCTCGGCTGCTAACCAAAAGGTCGGAGGTTTGAACCCACCAGTTGCTCCATGGGAGAAGGATGTGGCAGTCTGCTTCTGTAAAGATTACAGTTCTACTCTGTGCTATAGGGTTGCTATAAGTTGGAATCAACTCCACAGCAAGGGTTTGGTTTGGTGTGGTTTAGGCAATTATACTAGGCCAATTAGAGGGATGTGCTGGTGGCTGAGCAGGGTCCTAGAGGCCCATACCATGCATGATGTTAACTCCTTGCTTGTTGGATCATGGTGGAGGAACTGTCTGGGAGCCAGGGGAGGAGCTGGGGCAGGTGGTGGGGGCACTTACAGAGCTTTGGCAACATTATTTACCATTTGGCCTAGAAGCGTTTCAGTATCTGACAGTGAGTATATGGGTGTGAACGAGCTGATGTCAGCAGTTGGCCTGGCACAAAGGCAGTGCCCAGTAACATTTGTGGGGTTGAACTGAGTGCCAGCATGGTTGTGCTTGGATTCTGATCAGTGGCATAGCAGCAGACAGGCCCTGTGACTTTCCAGTATTGTCTCCATGGGCAAACTCATCATCCACTGGAGAGCTCCTGAGGTCAGAGTTCATCTGTCCAGAGGTTTCCCACCGGGGGCCCCAAGGCAGCAAAGGGAGAGCTATTTAAATTATTTCAAAAATATTGAAGAAAACTGTCCTGCTTATTTTAAAGATTAGAAAAGAACTGATTGCTGAGAGATGATTTATTACCACTCCCAGTTAGCCAATTCCTGCACTTTTTACTTGCTCTCAGTGGTGTAGTAATCACACTGTACAAACGGGCTGCTATGTCTGTGTGTGTAGGGCTGAGGCTGGCTTTGTTACAGTTGTATTCCCAGAGCCTAATTCAGTGCTGGGCACACAGAGGCTCTTAAACATGTGTTGAAAGCTTTTTTAAAAAAAGAATTCATGGCTACTTTAATAATAAGTACAATTCAATTTGATCAGCAATATCTTTTAAGATATGCATAAAAAATAAAATAAAATTGGTCATTGGAACCCATGGATGAAGACACTGATTTAGAGATGGAGAAACTGAGGCCCAGGAAGGAACAGGCGCTGATTCAAATGTGATATGCTGAGTGGAGAGCGATCTGGCTTCAGTGTCTGCACGATTCGCATTTGAATCCCAGCTCCACCGCTTGCTTGCTGTGTGACTTTGAACCAAACAAGTTGCCTGACCTCTCTGAAACTCAGGCTCTTCATCTGCAAAATCGGAAGACTGTGCCTCTGTTGTGATCAGGGGATGGTTGTGAGGATTAACTGGAGCAATGTACCAACAGGCCTGGGTAATGGCCTTCCTGTCCGCATCCCCGTTCCTGGCTCCTAGCCCAGTGCCTTCTCACCACACCATGCAGGGATTCTTCTTCCATGGGACACACCCAGTCATGAGACCACAGTGTTAGCCCTTACGTTTCTATGCCCCCAACCCTCAACGCAGCCAGAACAGAAAGGTACTTACATACGCCACAGGGTCATTGCTCCTCGTCCCGACAATGCTGAACTTCTTCACATATGAGTTCTCTTTCAGCGCTTCTGCGTACGCCTTGAGGGTGGGTATGGGGATATTCTGCGGAGAGAAAGGGAGGCAGTGACCAGCAGCCCTCCACCTGGGGCAAGGCAGTGCAGACAGATGAGGCAGCCACTCTCCTCACTGATTCCTAGCAAGTCTCTGACCAAAAGGGTGAGTGGCCAAAGGGTTCTAGTGCTGCCTGTTCTGTAGCTTTGCCCCACATGAATAAGATTCGAGGAAAACTTTCTGGTAAACAGATTGAGAAAACTCTCGCTGAAAATTTCAGATAAGACCTGAAACTCTTTTACTCTGCGTGCCGAGTCCAGGGAAGAAGAAGAAATCAAGGCAGGGACGCAGAAGGGTGTTGTGCAGGATGGGGGAACAGGAGCTTGGCCCCTGCCCCACAATGTTTCTGACTTGCTGTGTGGCTCTGGCAAAGTCTCTTCCCCTTTCTTGCCCTGTTTCTGGAAAGCATGGTTGGGGTGGTGGTGGCATGAGATGATCTCTGAGAGACTTCTATCCCAGTGCACCTCAGCCCTGGCTGCACATCAGAGGCTCCTGGGGAACTTTCACCAAATACTGATGCCCGGGGCCTGCCTCAGAACAAGTAAATCAGAATCTCTGGGTGTCGGGCCTGGGCACTGGTATTTTAAAAAATTTCCTTAAATGAAAACCACTAATCTAGTTCAACTGCCTCTTTGTGCAGAAGGGGGAGCTGAGGCCCAGAGAGGACTGAGCGCTTGCCTGAGGCCCGGCAGCAAGAGCGCAGAGCGGAGGCCAGGCTCCAGGTCCCGGCATGGCTCTGAGTAGGCATTCACTGCCAGCGCACACAATTCTAAACTGTGCCTCCCACTGGGCACACAGGTGAGGCACACGAGACCCTGGCTGTGTTTTCACGGATCTCTCATTTCAGGGTGTCATTTTAGCTTCCTGTGGGAGCAGAGCATGGCGGTGGAGTGGGGACAGGTGGGGGAGAATACGGAGGGTGCAGGTTTCCAATCTGATTGTGCCATAGGGCTGGCAGCCACTTAAAAGAAAGCAGAGAAGAAAGGAAAGAGGAGCAGGGGATGAGGGCCAGCTTCTTGTTTTACCCCTACCCCCTCCCAGAACTAATCCAGCAGGCCTCTGAGTGGAGCAGGTGGGTGGGCAGCTGTGCCTACATCTGAATTCCTCCCGCAGCCTGTCCAGGCTAGAACTGCCTGTCCATCTGTCCCTCCTCTGCCCTTGGTGGCCACATGGGGAAATGTCCAGAGAAATATAGGCAGAGAGCTTGGAATATTTCTTTGGACATTTGTGCCAACAGCATCCATCTGGGGCTGTAAAATAAGGTTGAATATGAACATGCTACAGCAGAAGTGATGGTTCGGGGGAGGTCACTCTCAAGGCTTGGGTTCCCCCCCGAGTCTGGTGGGCACTGGAGTTTTCGAATGTGTGTCTGACACACGATTTATCTTGGAGAACCTCTCAGTGTTTTGAACAACATGGACGGTTTCCAGAGACAGAGCTGGGTTGGCCCGTGGTGAACATCTGGGCCTGATGTTTGTTTACACTGTTGACCCCTCTCAAACACTCCCATTGGCAATGCTTTGCCCATTTCCTGATCCAGAGACACCCAGAGCCCACACAGGACCTTGTTCACTCTGCCCGGTCAAGCCTGGGCTGTTTGCGTCTGATTGGTACGGTACATGGACATGGCTTTCCCATGAAGCGAAATAAAAGGACTTTACCCGGATGTTATTGAGGTTAACCTCTTCAAGTTTTGGGTCGTTGTTCTTGACCCGCTCCAGCGTTTCTTCTACATCTGTTGCATTTGGTTCTTCATCTGGCACAGGTTTGTATTGTGTAGGTTTGATCACACCTAGACAGAGTGACGATAAATGGCAGGGTGCTCACATAAACACAAGGATGCTGAAAGGAAGCATCAGCAGGGTTCAGGGACATGTGAAGGCTTCGCATCGCAGGGGCTTCCAGAACAGGGCCACTGAGGAAGAAGCACTGTTTGGGGAGCCATGAGGCTTGGGCTCTGCTTGGACTCTGCTTTTGATGTCCTGCAATTACCTAAACATTCTGAGCCTCAGTGTTCTCAGCTGTAAAGTGGGAATACTCGTTCTACCTGCACTTGTTAGCTCAGTGGGCCCTTGTGAGGATAAAATGGAGCCTGGATGGGAAAGAAATGTGTAACTGTTCCAGAAGGGAGGGATGATTATTCTTTTGGCACCCTCATTCCTCTCTGGGGCCAAGATACCAGCTTGGAAGCAATGCAGTGGAGTAATTAAAACAATGCAATATCGGCACAGGAAAGGAAAAACGGACTCATGGAGCAAAAGAGACACCCAGAATACTTGGAAAGTTATGATAAAGGTGGAGCCTCAAGTCAGTGGTGAAAAGATGAACTCTTCGAACACTGGCGCTGGGACAATTGGATAGCCATTAAAAAAATGAAAGAAAGTTCAATCTCTACTCACACCACTCACAAACATGAACTCCAGGTGGAACAAGAGGCCGAATATAAAAAGTAAGCCTCTCAAATATTTAGAATAATCTTTTTATAATTTAGGAGAATCTTTTTATACTATTGAGATGGAGAGGGTCTTTGTAAACAAGATCCAGATCCCAGGAGAGTGTGAAAAGGAAGAGTGGCTGATCTGGCTACATAAAAATTTAAAATTTCTGCAAGGAGCCAGAGCAGCAGTGAGTAGAGGAAAGCAAGAAGCATGAGGGCCTCTCACTTCCATGAGTGACCCTGGGGGTGAGGCGAGGGGCAGAAGTCAAGCCGGCTGGCAGGGCCAAGTACTCACTGTTGAGTCCCTCCTTGTTCACGATGGAGCTGCTGCCCAGAGCCTGGTAGTACTGCTGGTTGCTCATGAGGGTGTGCATGCCTAGGATAGCTGCGGAGAACAGGGAAGGGCCTGTGACTCCCCTCTCTCAGACAAGAAAAGCCTCTTGAGGACAGATACTCCACACCCCAGGAATTTTTGCTCACAGAAACAGCAAGAAACACTTGCGTGAAAACTTTGATATTGTATATTATTTGTACTCTTGTCTCTTTTTACATGACTTTCGAGTCCCTGTCCCTAGCCTAGACTTGCCTAGTCCCCATCCTCAGACTCCTAGATCTCCCCCTGCCCCAGTGTCCCACTGGCACTGCCAACCTAACCTGGCCAAATCAGAGCCATCAACTTTCCCAGCAACGGCCTCTTCCTTTGGATCACCTTCCATCTTGTCATCTGGCTTCTCCCTCGGGGTAAAATCTCAGTCACATGGCACCTCCTCCCCCCTACCAAGCCCTCACCTTCCTAAACAGTGCATTCGATCTCCACAGTGTCACTCAGATCAGTCCCACCTCCCATCCCATCACCTCTATGCTGGTAGAGACTCTATCATTTCTTGGCTGAACAATCGCAGCTGCGTAGTCACTGGTGCCCTGGCCTCAGTCTCTTCTTCCCCCCTCTTCCCCGGTATTTGGCAAAGAACGGTCAGAAAGAGCTTTCTGGAAATGCAAATCTAGTCACATCTCTCCCATGCTCAGTCATTCTTTCATTCATTCATTTTGTTCTACATTTACTGAGAGCCCACATGGCGTGCTCAGCTCTGGGGAGGGGAGCAGAAAACAAGAAAGACAAGGTCTCTGCCTACATAGCTTACAGTCTGCTCAGGGGAGGGAGACCTTAAGCAAGTAACCACACAATTACAAATATAAGCACGGAGTCTGATAAGGGTTTTAAAGAAAAAGTTCTGTGTGTTCTGGGTGAAATAACAGAGGGAATTGAGATGGGAAGTAAGTGTCGGGCAAGTTAAGAGAAAACCAGTACCATTTGCCATCAAGTCAATCCTAACTCATGGTGACCCCATATATGTAACAATTGAACTGTGCTCCATAACGTTTTATTTTTATTTATTTTTGTTGTTGTTGAAAATATACACAGCAGAACATACACCAATTCAACCGTTTCTACATGTATATTAGAGTTCAGTCACATTGATTATATTCTTCAAGTTGTGCCACCATTCTTACCTTCCTTTTCTGAGTTGTTCCTCCCTCGTTAACATAAACTCACTGCCCTCTAAGGTTCCTATCAAATCTTTCAAGTTAACTGTTGCCAATTTGATCCCATATAGATAGTTCTTAAAAGAGCACAATGCTCAAGGCAGACATTCTTTACTGTTGTTCTTAGGTGCTGTTGAGTCAGTTCCGACTCATAGCAACCCTATGTACAACAGAATGAAACACTGCCCGGCCCTGTGCAATCCTCACAATCACTGCTATGTTTGAGCCCATTGTTGCGGCCACTGTGTCAATCCATCTCATTGAAGGTCTTTCTCTTTTTTGCTGATCCTCTACTTTACCAAGCATGATGTCCTTCTCCAGGGACTGGTCACTCCTGATAACTTGTCCAAAGTATGTGAGATGAAGTTTCACCATCCTCATTTCTAAGGAGCATTGGGCAGTACTTCTTCCAAGACAGATTAGATCATTCTTCTGGCAGTCCATTCAATAATTCTTTGCCAACACCGTAATTCAAAGGAATCAAATCTTCTTTGGTCTTCCTGATTCATTGTCCAGCTTTTGCATGCATATGAGGTGATTGAAAATACTATGGCTTGGGTCCTCGAAGTGACAACTTTGCTTTTTAACACTTGAAAGAGGTCTTTTGCAGCAGATTTGCCAAAAGTAATACATCGTTTGATTTCTTGACTGCTGCTTCCAAGGACGTTGACCGTGGATCCAAGTAAAGTGAAATCCTCAACGACTTCAATATTTTTTCCATTTATAATGATGTTGCTTATTGGTCCAATTGTAAGGATTTTTGTTTTCTTTATGTTGAGGTGTAATCCATACTGAAGGCAGTAGTCTTTGATCTTCATCAGTAAGTGCTTCAAGTCCTCTTGACTTTCAACAAGCAAGGTTGTGTCATCTGCATAATGCAGGTTGTTAATGAGTCTTCCTCCAATCCTGATGCCCCGTTCTTCTTCATATAGTCCAGCTTCTCGGATTATCTGCTCAGCATACAGATTGAATAGGTACAGCAAAAGGATGCAACCCTGATGCACACCTTTCCTGACTGTAAACCACACAGTATCCCCTTGTTCTGTCTCAACAACTGCCTCTTGATCTATGTTCCACATGAGCACAATTAAGCGTTCTAGAATTTCCATTCTTCACAATGATATCTATAATTTGTTATGATCCACACAGTCGAATGCTTCTGCATAGTCGGTAAAATACAGGTAAACATCTTTCTTGTATTCTCTGCTTTCAGCCAAGATCCATCTGACATTATCGATGATATCCCTCCTTCCACGTCGTCTTCTGAATCTGGTTTGAATTTCTGGCAGTTCCCTATCAATGTACTGCTGCAACTGTTTTTTAATTACCTTCAGCAAAATTTTACTTGCATGTGATATTAATGATATTGTTTGGTAATTTCTGCATTCGGTTGGATCACCTTTTTTGGAATGGACACAAATATGGATCTCTTCCAGTTGGTTGGCCATGTAGCTGTCTTCCAAATTTCTTGGCATAGACGAGTGAGCGCTTCCAGCACTGCATCCATTTGTTGAAATGTCTCAGTTGGTATTTTGTCAATTCCTGGAGACTTGTTTTTCACCAATGCCTTCAGTGCAGCTTGGACTTCTTTTTCAATCCCATCACTTCTTGATCATATGCTACCGCCTGAAATGGTTGAGCACTGACTAATTTTTTTTTGGTACAGCGACTCTGTGTATTCCTTCCATCTCCTTTTGATGCTTCCTGCGTCGTTCAATATTTTGCCCATAGAATTCTTCCATATTGCAACTAGAGGCTTGAATTTTTTCTTCAGTTCCTTCAGCTTGAGAAATGCCAATGTGTTTTTCTCTTTTGGTTTTCTAACTCCAGGTCTTTACACATTTCATTAAAATATTTTTGTCTTCTCAAGCCACCCTTTGAAATTTTCTGTTAAGCTCTTTTACTTCATTATTTCTTCCATTTGATTGAGCTACTCTAGGTTCAAGAGCAAGTTTTAGAGTCTCTTCTGACATCCATTTTGATCTGTTCTTTCTTTCCTGTCTTTTCAATGACCGTTTACTTTCTTCATTATGATGTCCTTGATGTCATCCCACAACTCGTCTGGAGTTTGGTCATTAGTGTTCGATGCATCAAATCTATTCTTGAGATGGTATCCAAATTCAGGTGGGATATACTCAAGGTTGTACTTTGGCTCTCGTGGACTTGTTTTAATTTTCTTCAGCTTCAACTTGAACTTGCATATGAGTAATTGATGGTCTGTTCTGCAGTCGGCCCTTGGCCTTGTTCTGACTGATAATATTGAGCTTCTCCATCGTCTCTTTCCACAGATGTAATCGATTTGGTTTTAAGAAGATTTCAGGGGATATTTTTGGTTTAACATTTAAAGGTTATTCACTCCATAGGGGTTTCAATGGCTGATTTTTCAGAAGTAGATCACCAGGCCATCCTTCCGAGGTGCCTCTGGGTAGACTCGAGCCTCCAACCTTTCAGTTAGCAGCCCAGTGCACTAACCATTTGCACCACCGGGAAACTCCATGTTAAGAGAAGGGAGGAAGAAAGTTCCAGGCAGAGGGAATGGTGAGTGCAAAGCCCTGAGGGTTAGGGAGTGTAAGGCCAACGAGGCAGGAGCATTGGGAGAAACAGGGAAGAAGGACAGAGATGAAGTTGGCAATGTGTTAATAACAATGATCATACCACCCACCTACTGAGTACTTGCTATGGTCCAGGGAATATGCTTTACATCAGCTATTTTCAGTTTGGCTGCACATTGGAATCCTTTGGTAATCTTTTCAAGTTCCAGATGCCCAGGCCTACTATAGACCAATTAAATCAGAACCTCTGGGGGTGAGGCCCAGGCATCTGCATTATTTTCGAGTTCCCAGGTAGTTTCAGCGCACAGTTGAGGCTGAGAACCACTGCCTTACATTAACATCCTCAACCCTCCCAACAATTCTCTAGAATGAATTTTATTCAAGTAGCAAGGTGGGAACCTACGGGGTCTTCTGGGTTGAGGTAAGGAGTTCAGATTTTTTTCCAGGTACAGCCCGGGAAGCCACTGAAGCCTTGAGCAGGGAGTGGGAGGTCTGACTGGGGTTCTGAGAACATTAGTCTGGCCATGTGTGAAAAAGTGACTACAGAGGGGAGAGGTGGACCTGGGGGATCCAAGGGGCTGTTGTACCCATCTAGACAGGAGGACAGTGGTCTCTGATGGCCAAGTCCAAACGCCAGAGCCTGGCTCCCAGGACCTTCCTGGGCTGGCCCTGCCTCGATAGACAGCCTGGCCTCTTGCCCACACCCTCTCTGCTCCAGCTGCACAGTCACTGCTCAGTAGCATCTCCTGCTTCTGCCAGTGCTGGCCCCTCTGCTGGAAATTCTCTCTCCACTTGCAGTGCCCACTGCTGAAATGGCCCCTGTTGGGGTGGCCAGCTGGGGCATTGGTGCTTCAGTGGTAGAATTCTCATCTTCCATACGGTAGATCTGGGTTCCATTCCCAGCCAACGTGCCTCATGCACAGCACCACCTGTCTGTCAGTGGAGGCTTGTGTGTTGCTATGATACTGAACAGGTTTCAGTGGAGCTCCCAGACTAAGACAGACTAGCAAGGCCTGGTAATCTGCTTCCAAAAATCTGTCAGTGAAAACCCTCTGGATCACAATGGTTCCATTAAGGATGGGCTCGACATGAGTCGGAGCTGGCTCCATGGCAGCTAACAACAATAGGATTGTTAGAGTTAGCAAATAAAAATACAGGACGCCCAGGTGAGTTTGGATTTCAGATAAACAATGAATATTTTTTTTAGTAGAGGTATGTCCCAAATACTGAGTGGAATATGTTTATATTAAAAATTATTCATTGTTTATATGAAATTCAAATTCAGCTG